CTAAGGAGGCTCACGAACGACGATAGGTATCGACCACGCAAAGGAGGCTCGCTGACGACGATAGGCACCATGCATACAAAGGAGGCTCGCAGACGGCGATAGGTATCGAGCAAGCGAAGGAAGCTTGTAGACGGCAATAGGTATTGACCACGCGAAGGAGGCTTGCTGATGGCGATAGGCACCACGCACATAAAGGAGGCTCACAGACGGCAATATGGATCGAGCACACGAAGGAGGCTCGAAGACAACGATAGGTATTGAGCACGCGAAGGAGGCTTGCGAACCGCGATAGGTATCAAGCACGCAAAGGAGGCTCGCGAACGACGATAGGCACCGTGCACGTAAAGGAAGCTTGCAGACGGCGATAGGTATTGCCAAGACCTCTCGTGAGCGGCGATAAGCATCGTCGTCTGCGATAGGAATGCAATAGGAAGAGACCCCTGTGGGCAGCAATGAGTTTTTCCATCTGCGCTCTTCACTGAGAGGTCGAGGATACGTCTGCGGAAGGTGATGAGCAACGCCGTCTTCAAACCTCGCTAGGGGATAGAGATGGATGAACAGAAGGAGAAGGAGGCTCGCGAATGGCGTTGTCATCACCATGCGCGACTTGTGAGATCACAGAAGAGGCATGCATGGCACTGGCACTGCCACTGCCATGCAAGGCCCCTGAGGGGAGTTCAGATGGAGAAGAGGAAGAGAGAGAAGAAGAAAAGAATAAGAAGAGAGAAGATTTACCTTGAGCTTAAGGGTACTAGTCCAACAGTTTCCTCTCTTTACTCTCTCTCTCTTATTGTAACCCAACAATGAGAAGAAAGAGAAACGCTCTTAAGTAGAAACTCTCTCTTTTGTGAAGAGTTCAAGCGCCTAATTACTGAAAATTAAGATTAAAATGATTTACAAGAAATTAGAAAATAGGGTGCAAAATGATAGATTTGCCCCTTTCTAACAAGTTGTGAAATTCCAGAACAGTCATTGTGTTACCCTAGAACGTGCATGACTTTTCGTGGATGACCGGGGTTATTCGAATGCCCGACTGATCAAGAGATGATTGCTTTCTTGTAGGGCTCTGCATGGCGATCGATTTGATACCAACTTGAAATTTGAATGAATATTGAAACTTTGGATCGATTGTGTGCTCATTCCTTGATGTTTTTTTGTGATTTCTTTGCTGGAACGCACTGAGCATGCCGTCACGATTGCAGGGCAACAAACGTAGCTTGATTCCATTCCCGGACAAAGGTTTCGCAAGTTCGGAGTTTTTGTCGGAATCTGGAATTTCGACGATGGAATTTGCAGTTATTTCGCTGGCTTAATGTGCGGAATCCGACCGTTCATCATGTACGGGGTTCGGGTCAAAGATAGCCTGAGACCTTACTCACGCGATGAAATTGGTCTCACGTCGATCGGCTTTACGAGCGCCCTGATTTGGCTACTCGATTGAGGCACAATGATGCTGAATTTTCTACACTTTTTTCATGGATCAGTAATTTCTCTCTACCTTTTCTTCGTGCTCGGGCATCGTTGCGAGGCGTGCCACATATCAAAATACTCGTTTTGATGAGAGGAACATGTTCACCAAATTTGAGCACGGTCCGACTTGGGACGGGCGAGAAATGAGCGTCGAAAGTAACAGCTCATGACTGTTGCAGGGTGGCCGCAAGGGAATAGCGGGTGGCTCCAGCTGTTTCTCTCGTTTGCCTATAACTTCTTCCTGGAGTGTCCGTTTAAGTTGAAATTTGACCCCTGGGGGTTTTCAACTATAAGGGATCCAATGGCAGTGGTCTCACAGCAAATTGACACACTGAAAAATGTAGCTCTAGTAATAGGGGTCCATTTCAGGATGCTAGAGACTAATTTCGCTGGAACTATTTCTCAATCTGCACTTCCTTAGATATGTCAGAATGCTACGAAACTTGGCAAGAGACTTTTGAAACTCTTTATGAAGATCTTGGCCAGTTTTAGGACTATCAAAGACTGTCGAAATTTTCACTGTTTGCTAGGCTTTTATTGAGCGGGGGCCCCATGATGTTGAAAAATATCTTCCAACAACCACATCTGCATCTTCATTTAGTTTTACTAAAAGGTCATTTTCTAGATACAGAAGTGTCAGATTGATTGGGTCACACCGTATAATAGACCCCATATGGGCCTTTAACTTTCCCAATGTGCGACTTCTATTATACAATATAGCTTTCACATTCTCACCCTTGTAGTACATTCATCCATCATTTAGACCTCTCTCGAAGGAACCATCTTAATGACAAAACAACCTCACTCTACCTGTGGCCATTGTGATAACTCAAATGGCAACCTTGTAGAGTCAATGTGATATAGCTTTAGTCAAAGACGCCCTAAAGCCAAAAATCCCAGTATAAAGCAAAATTAATTGCATTTAAAATTATTTTACAGACGTAAGCATTACCCGTATCCTAAAATTGGAAGGGATTAAATATAAACAAGGACCAACAACGCATTCAATAGGCCCAACCATGCATTCAATTGGATAAATCTTCTCATGATGGAAATAATAAAATGAAAAAAATGTCAAAAAAATATATAGACAAAGACCACCAGCGCATAGCCCTTATCTATCTCTAGAATCCAATGAGCCACTGATTATTGGTACAATTTGAAACAAATCCATTCATAGAGCCCCTAAACATCAATACGCCTAAGAAACATTACGACGTTGATTCAATTACTCCATAAAACATAAAATGTGATCTAAATATCAGAAGCAAAATTAAAGGATTGTCTACAAAGAGACCATTTAACTTTTGTATAAAGAGGTCACAACTATTCCCACTCGTTAGATGTCAAATTGGATGGCTTGGGGTGATTCACGAAGTCTGGGAATTTTGTTTTGAAACTTCTTGTCTAATCAATGACACTCTTACAACCACCAATTTAAAGAAGATGAATGATTGTGATCTCCTTGTACAAAAGGTAAATGGTCTCTTTATAGATAATCCCCATAATTATTAAATATAGAAAATTGTAGTATCACCCAATTCTCATAATGCATATGAAACATAGAGACGTTGATTTGATCGATTTGATAAAACATAAATGGGCATCAAGATATAAGTATCAGCATGAAAGATAGGAAATTGTAGCTACTTATACATAATACACTGTACCAGTATTAATGTAGAAATTTCATATTAAATAAAAAGATTAAGTAAACACAAATAGGAAACCCTTAGAGCTCTAGTTTTCTCATATTGATAGAAATTGGCACATGAAATTTAAATTCATTTTGTAAGCCTCAAAAATCTGGTTTGCCCAACTTCAATGTCTTTGCTATGTCCAAATATGACATCTAGTAGAAAACACTAGAAATTTAGGGCAAATGGAAAAAGCAAAGTTCAAATAGATAAGAGGGTAAGAGAGATTTAACTTAAAAGAGATGCCAGCAGAGAGAGATATAGAGCGAGAGAATAAGATAGAGTGAGTTGAGAGAGGGATTTGAGAGAAGAGTGTAGAGAGAGAGGGTGCCAGGAGAGGGGTTCAAAAATGTGCTAAGCGCTATTTAAGCTCACAAGACGCTCACTGAAAAATTGTAAAAAAAAAAAAAAAAAAAAAAAAAAAGAATCAACACTAGCAATTAAAGTCTTGAAACATCCGACTGGTTTCAAATAGGTATTGAGATCTTACCAAGCAGTCCGACGAATAAAAATTGGACCAAGGGAAACTAGGCAAAATATAAAAAATTTCGAGAGGTCCATTTTTTCCTAACAATAAACGCCTGTTTTGAGGTTAAAAATCAACATGGATGTAAATTTTCTCTCAAAAAAAATACAAAATAAAGAGAGACGGACTATGCAGAACAAAGCACGTCATGTCGTTTTCGTGGTTCTTGACACGATTGGTGAATAGGCCTTACACATCCACCACGCATCTCGATGGATTGAACTGTAGGTTTGTACAGTAGGAGCATGCCCTCGTGGTATGTGTAAACTTTGTATGTTATCCTTGCCGCTCCCCCTGATATGGACTGCCATCGTGTAGCATACACATCATGAGTACGCTAACAAATACATAGCCGAGGCATTAACCACAACTCATCCGCAAGATGCACTGCAAAGATCTACTAATCGCCCAAAGAACGGAGGGTGCGTAGTCAACTTTTATCCACAAAAAAAGAAAGGTCGGTTTCTCTCTTAATGGGTTATGGAATGAAAAGTGATAAAAGACGAAAAGGATGTGAAGGGGGCGGCAACGGCTGTCTGAAGAACTCTTCCGAGAGCGACCGAGCGGTCAGGTGGGAATGGGTCAGGTTCCCCGGGCCACACTGGGCCAGGTGGCTGCATGGCTGCCTAGTTGAGCCGTTATTTTTTTATATAGGAATGGTTGTAAAAGTGCAGACAGAAAGACAAAAAAAAAAAAATCTTGAGCACTATAAGCCATCCAATTCGATGATTGTGGTCTACAAAAGATAAATAATCTTTTTATAGACAATTTCATATCTTTTTTTTTTTTAAAAAAAAATTTAATCTCATATATTATTTATATTCTTTCATACATTTTTTCTAAGAAAATTTATTGGTAAAAAAATTAATAATTCTTTATTAAATTAAAATCTTTAATTTTAAGTTAAATTTAATTATATTAAATTTATGATGAAAAAATAAAGTTAATGTTTTTCTGAAAAACATATTTATAAATTCTATTAAAAAAATATATATGATTTTTTAAAGATCTTTTAAAAAATTTGGAGTTTTCAAAAAATTTTAAAAAAATTGAATTTTTCTGAAAAAACTCAAGTTTTAAATGAATATTTTAGGGAAAATTACAAAAAAAAAAAAACAAAAAAAAAAAAAGCTTACACTATCTATTTAACTTACCCCTACCTAACCATTTCTTTCATTTCTTTTCCCTACAACAAACTTTCTATGCAAATATCCCCCAATAAAAAAAATTTAAAAAAATACTAAACTACCCTTAACACTATTGCACACGCCTCTTTCTTCGGCAGTAGAACCTGTGAGACATAGAGCTGCGATAGTAGCAAAGGGCACTCCAACAATAGTGCTTCGACAGTTGCAAAGGGCGTTCCAGTAGTAGCACTCCGACAATTACAAAAGACGCTCTGGCAATAGAACTTGTGGAACACAACTTTCGGACAGTAGCAAAGGACACTCCGACAGTTACAAGGGTGCTCCGACAGTTGCAAAAGGCACTCCGACAGTAAAACATGTAAAAAACAGCACTCCGATAGTAGAACTTGTAGAACATAGCGTTTGGACAGTAGTAAAAGGCACTCCGACAATAGCGCTCCGACAATTGCAAAAGGGGCTCCGACAGTTGCAAAAGGCACTACGACAGCAAAACTTGTAAGACGAACGCTCCGGGGTAACACTTCAACAGTAACAAAGGCGCTCTAGGGGTAACACTCCGGAAGTGGCAAAAAGCGATTTCGGCCGTAGAACTTATGAGACATTAAATCTCGCCAAATTAATTGTTTTGTGGGAAGAGCATTTCCGTGGAAAAAAGAGATTCCCGGATGGAAAGTTTGTTGTGAAAATAAAATTGAGAGAAAATGTTTTGATGAGGGTAAATTACCTAAATAGTGTATTTTGAGGGGTTTTTTTTTGTACTTTTTCCTTATTTACTGTTCAATAGGCTTTCCTTTTTATTATATTTTCTGTACTTTATTTTTATTTTTATGTTGCCCAAGCCCGTCTGGTCCGAATGGCTGAGTGAGCGCTTGTGCGAGGCCTTGGCAGGGCTGTCTACACTGGGACTAAGTAATGGGTACGGATGCTCCCGGCCGGTGGCCCGCCCTACAACTGACGTCACCTGCACGCGTCTTCCTCATCAAACGCACGCCACTGCAACCCCACCATTAATCATCAATACACAACAAACACAACCGACCTAACAGAGCAACAAAAGCAACCCTACTTTTCATAAAGCGGAAGGAAAAGGAGTATGATTCTCAAACGGACCGTTGAGCCACAAGATTCGCTCCGCAGTTCCACCTCAATCAAGGAAAATATAGTTCAACCCACAAAAAAAAATGGAGAAATAAGAAGCGAGAGTTTCTGATTTGCGGTCATATTGACATGTATAAAGTATTATTAACCCAAAAAAAAAAGACCAAAAAACGGAAAAAAAAAGAGGAGCAAGTCGTCCTCTCCAGAAACCTTAGTTTGTGCAGGAATTCACATGAATAAATCAAAAACCTCAGTTTTTTTTAGACTTTCACCTCAAATATCTTCTCTTAATTCTTTAATTCTCAACCTCTGGCTGCGCTCACTCGAAGAAGCGCAAGATGCAAACCAATCCTCAGACTCAGGAGGCGGCTCCTGGTTGAGATTGGGACGACGGGAGATATGGGTTCTGTTCTGCTGAAGTGCGTCCACCCTCGCTCCCACCTCTGTGGCCTTCTTCCTTATTGAGTCTGCAGACATGTCAGACAGGCAGTCCTCCTCGGTCGCAAATTCGGGGAAATTGCGCTGAGCCGAAGGACCTCTTAGATAGAAGACTGCAGTATCATAGGCCATCGCAGCTGCTATGGGGGTAGAGTAGGAGCCGAGCCATATCCGGGACCGCTTCTTGGGTTCTCTAATCTCGGCCACCCACTTACCCCACGTCCTCATCCTGATTCCCCTGTATTGCCGCCTCTCGCTCTCGTTTTTAACAGCTTCTTTGCCAAGACTACTGCTTCGCTTCTTTCCCTTGTGTTTTTGTTGTTGCAGCTCCATCATAGACTCCGACTCTTTCCAAACCGAAGCGGAAGCCGAAGCCGAGCACGAGTTTTCTTCATCCATAACAATCTTTTTGTCTTTAAATGACCGACCTCCTGTTAAACCCCAGAAGAACCACCAATACCAACAACACCGCCTAGCCCTGTCTATTGGGGTTTACCCTCTCTCTAATCGTCTCTCACCTATCCCATCCAAACAGAAACGAACCTCTACTGTCTTGTTCCTTTTAACAAAAACGCCACCTCTCTCTTATCTCTCACCATAAATAGAGCAGAGCAGTGCGCCACCGCTCAGTGTGCGGCTACATCCTCCTCTCAAGTTGGGCGGGCCGTCGCCGACTCGTGTACGCCTCTTCTGGGTTTATTAATGTATCCGCTCTCTTTTGGTCTCTCTCCAAAACAAGTCTTCAGCGAATGGTTCCGCTTTGTGCCGCCATTCCCAGCGCCCACGTCATCTCCCGCCATATTCTCATTTTCCTTTGCCGACATTGCTGCCTATCTTACACTGGCCAAGCAATACACGCACACGTGGCCACATCTACCCCGTCACCCTCGTTGCTGACGTGGCTGTGAGGATAGGTCGGCCCCCTCCTCTTATTTATTGGAAAATACGTGTCGTGTAGCCCGCGACGAGAGCGGGCTGAGAAGGGGGATCTGCTCCATGTTGGACAATAAAAAAATTTAAATAAATGAAAATGATTTGTTTTGTGTTTTTTTAAATGGAAGGCGATGGTCGGTCGGTGAAAGTCCTCCATTGTTTCTTTCCGTCCAAGCAATAACATCACCTTAATGTGGAAAGCTTATTCCTCCATTTATATAATCTTAGCAACCTTTCAAACTTCACCCAAGCCATGATTTTTATGATTTGGGCTCGGATTTCCGCCATAGCATTTTCCCGATGAGTATTCATTTCTAGACGTTCATCGGCTTTATATATATATATATATATATATATATATATATATATATGAAAATACTAATCACGACCCTATTTCGTATTTTGATGTTAATGTTTTTTCTAAAAATCTAAAGAATATGAAATTTTAAACGTGTATTCTTCTCATCAAGAAACACATAATAAAAATATTTAAAAAATAATTTGTAAAAAATAAATTAATCAAAACACTCTCGAAACCTTTCAACAGTATTTTGGTTAATTTATTTTTTACAAATTTATTTTTTGATATTTTTATTACATTTTTCTATTTTTTAAAATACACGTCTAAAAGTTCAAACTATATGGATTCGTAAAAAATAAAAAAAAAACTAAAATTCAAATAGAAATGTAGTCATGACCGTTAGATCGGTCCGAATTCAATCTGGGCCGTTAGGTTTTTATGAACACATATATTCATATGAGCTAGTGGGTTAATATATATATTTATTTATTTTTATTTTTTTTCATTTTTCTAATTAAATCATTTACTTTTATTAATCTTTACTGCGTAAAAGCATGATTGCAATTAAAATGGTGTTGAACTCCTTCACTTCCCTATAAACATGCTGAAATGCACTCATCTCATACAAACATCCATTGCTTCCATCCAATACTTCTTTAAACTCCAAGGGTCCATATTTCAGGTCACCAATTAACCACATTTAATGAATCTCCTTTCAATCCAACCCAATCTTACACAACTTTCATTTAGCAACTTTAGATTACTTAACACTGCTGAAAACTCGACCCAGTTTGCGGAAGCTATAGTCCTCAGGAATCGGTATCGCCATCTCTCTCAAACACACACCCTCTGTCTCTCATTCTCTCTCGATATATACAATATTTATGAATCTGCAGATGGTGTTTATAAATCTTGGACTTAGGACAGTGTGCACCACGTGCAATAAAAGTTGGCAATAGCCGTCTCGTAAACTCGCTTGAATAAAATAGAGACATTAACAATTTATTTATCACCATAATGCTTTCTCTAATAATTTGATCGGTCAACTACTACCACATTTGTTCACGCGACCATCAGCACAAATATCCACTTTTTATTTTTGGACAAGAATCACAAATGAATACTAACAATAAACGACTTTATAGAACCAAAACAACCAATCAGCTAAAAAAAAAAAAAAAACAAAAAAGAACTCCTCTCAATGAAACCATTTACCTATTGTACAAGGAGGTCACAATTATTTATAATCATTTGATGTGAAATTTGACAGTTTGCGTGTGTCATAAAGTTCAAATTTTTTTTTTTTTAACTTTAAGCTTAGTCAATGAAATTAATACAACCAACCAATTTCACATCCAATAGTCAAAATTAATTGTGACCACCTTGTACGAAAGTTAAGTGGTCTCATTGTATTCTTTTTCCTTTCATTACCATTGAAATATATACACAAAGGTTGGGCTTTTGCGTAGTTACTCCAAAAAGAGAAATACCAGACAACAATATATTCTTAATATGTAAAAACCACTAGGAATTTTGTAAGCACTTATTTCCACATTTAAATCCTGCGAGAGACAATATTAGTTTTGGGTCTTGCAAAAAATTGGATTATAATAGTTAATTCCTCAAATGATGATGATATATAGCTTAATCAAGAAAAGACACAAGATTTATAGCCTCATTGAAAGTATGGCCCTTAATAAAATAGAATGGCGGACCATGATTCATGTAAACGACCCCAAATAGTTGGAAAAAGACACTGATGATGAAATGATATTGTTGAATCAAGGCTTGATTCGTTACCAAATCTAGCACAAACTCACTCTCTACGTAGTTAATTGAAAGCATACGGCGTCATGTTGAATTCCAACCCAAAGGTGATCGAATCTCACGTCAGATATCAAACCTTCTTGAATTGTTGACAACACCAGCTATAATCACATCAAGTAAAAAATAGAGGACGAAATAAACGTATGAAGAAAGAAAAAATCAAGAAATACTAAAGAAATACTATAAAATTGAGAATAAATAAAAAATTATAGGACTTACAAACTAGCCAAGGGCTTCCGGCTGAGCACCCAAAATAAGAGCCTTGATTTGAATGATTGAACCCTCTTCTACGGTGGTAAATGACTTATTTTGGATCTAGAATGGGATTAAAAGATTCCTAAATATCTAGGGTTTAAGGCTTTAGGTGATTGAGAAATGGATGGTTTTCTTTGGGAAATGGATGATCTTGGTTCCTGAAAACTTAGGGTTCTTGGCTCTTAAAAATAAATAAAGCTTTAGTTTTTCGAGGATTAGGGTTAGGGTTTAGGTCAGCCTAATATTAGGGTTTCATTTAAGAGCCAACCCTTAGGGGATCAAAATTGAGGTTTCATATAGATCAATGAATATGAGAAAATACAAGGTTGTGATCTACACCAAACAGAAGCTGACATCTGGTTGCACAACACCTTGTGGCGCACAGCCTACGAATTTTCTACACTACAAGTTGTGGCACAATCAACCGACTTTAATTGATGAAGTTTCTTTCTTGACTTAAAGGTTTTCACTTGCTATTTTCAGTCAAAATCACATGGTTTGTCGATTCTCAAAATATTTATTTTCTCTCTGACAACAAAACAAGCCTTCACCTAGTCTTTGGCTTCCTAAGGCCTTATACAATGGGATTTGGGATAATTTTCAATCATTTTGGGTTGGATTATGGTCCGGGATGATTGTACTTTCTTGCTTGACTATGGGTTGAAAGGTCTTATTTCTTCGGTGAGTAGCCCTTGGTGCCCATCGTTTTCTAGTTTTTTGAGGTAATGTGTGATTCGTCTCGCTGGGCTGGTGAACAGCCTTAGCCTGATGAACTGCTTCTCGCTTCAAAGACTAGAGTCTGCTTCGGCCATGATAGATCGTCCATGGCTGGGAAGTTGAGGGTTCCGCAGGGTCTGAGTCATTGATGGGAAGGTCCTACCTTGTGAGATCTTTTTGCCCCGATGAGAAAGTGATTTGAGGATCACTTATGAGAAGATTGTAGAATTCTTGATACTCCTGCATATTCTTTACGAATATGTCAAGGAAAGATTTGCATTCTGACAAGTAATGACCTCTTATCTAATGGTATGGACACCAACGATCTTTAGTCCCCTTAACAAGGCTAAGGGGTTGCCATGCCTACTTCGATATGATTATGCCTTCCTGAAGCATTATAATGAAGAAGGTATAGAGAATTCCAGACACTTTATCCTCCTCCCGGATGGTTACAACATGGGAGGCCTCAGCTGCCCCGAAGGCTTTCTTTAGGTCATCAAGCTTTATCTGACCCTTCTGAATCAAGGCCTCAATGATGTCCTTCAGCATGTAGCATTCATCCAAAGGATGATTAATCCTCTAATGGTAAGCACAATAATTCGCATAATTGTCAAGGCCAGATTGCTTGGGGAACTTGGTTTCTCGAAGCTGGATCATATTCTGCTCTAATACGAACTGGAACAACGCAGGGACCCAGTCCTTCTCGAAGGGATAGACCTTATTTCTATGCCTGGAGAGATAATCATTATGATCAAAATTGGCTGGTGGAGGTACCCTATTGTACTATGGATGTTGCTTGCCAACCTGTGGTGTTACTGTTGATGCGGTTATCCCTTTAGAGAGGTCCAAATTTGGGGGGTAGCCTTCTTTGAATCAGTGACCATGACGGATTCACTGATTACCCCTTTTAGTTGGCTGCCCCGTGTGTTATTTTGAGAGCTACCATTGCCCCAGTTACTTGCTGAACTTGTAGATGGTTGTCGTGTCGCACCATGATGGCGTGACAAACTTTCTATGTGAACTGATTTAGAGATCAACTCTGACATGGAGGTCGGATTGGAGGCCTCGACATGTTGAGCGATTTCAAGTCTGGACTGCTTCCTTCTCAAGCATAGGATTAGCATTGTGGGAAGCCATGTTTCTCCATCTTGATATGGGTCTTGAGTCAGGGTGAGAAGCTCGATGGTTTGAACCTCTCTTTCAACCTCATAGAAGCGTTGATAGAACAGTTTCTCCATCTCCTCCCATGTATGCACTATGTTTGGAGGATGTCGGGCATATCATTGAAATGTCGGGCCATCAAGTGTCTCGACGAACTAGCAAGGAAGTCTCCCGTCAGCAGCCGTTTCTCGACATGCCACCTGAAAGTGGGCGATATGCTAGTTTGGGGACGTGGTTCCACTGAATAGAGGAAACTTCCCGAACAAGACTTGATCAATATAGGAGGGGTATGGTCTTTGATAAGGCGTCCGTCGCCCCCTGAATGGCTGGAATTTACCTGTTCTTTAGGCTATGGGTGACCATAGAGTCAATATCAAACTGAGAGATCGGATGAGGGACAAAATTGTCCTGCTAGGTAGATTAAGGAGGCTGTCGTGGAGGTATACCATCAAAGTTATAGGAAATGACCTCATGGCTAGCCGACTGGCATGCAGCATCAATACGATTGATCTTTTCCATCATCGCATGCATCATATCATGAAACTTATTCATGCGATCCTCCTGCACGTCACTAGGCTCGCTTACGACCATTATGCTGATTGTTTCTCTTGGGAGGTCAAAGTTAGTGGCGATAGAAGGTTTGTGAGCTTGACGGGTCGAACATGATAGGGCAGTTAGTAACCGGTCAATAAGCCCTAACTAAACTTGACTTTTGTAAGCAGATCATATTTGGACAGGTTCTCGACGGTCTTGGGATTGAGGCTGCGGGGCCGGTTCCCGACGGTCTTGGGA